TTTTTTTGAGACGGAGTCTCGTCCTGTTGCCCAAGCTGGAGCGCAGTGGTGCGATCATGGCTCACTGCGATCTCCTGCCTCCTGGGTTCAAGTGATTCTCCTGCCTCAGCTTCCTGAGTAGCTGGGACTACAGGCACATGCCACCATGCCCAGCTAATTTTTGTATTTTTGATAGAGACAGGGTTTCACCACGTTGGCCAGGCTGGTCTTAAACTTCGGACCTTAGGTGATCCGCGTGCCTTGGCTTCCGAAAGTGCTGGAATTACAGGCGTGAGCTGCTGCGCCCATCCCGGAGTCTCCTGTTTCCTGTGCGAATGATAGGAGCAAATGAGGAGGGTTGGGGATTCAGGTCCCGGAAGCTCAAGGAGGGACTGAGGGTTATCAGAAAAGGAAGCTGGAGCCTCTGGGTCCCCAGATGCTGTGGACGCCTGGCCGCATAGCAGAGGCTACATAGCATATATTTTAGAAGTGGAATAGTAGGAGTGTCTCTGAAGTGGCCACAAACTTAGAGGCTTAAAGTACTGCTAACAGTATCTGATGTGTTACTCTGGCAATTTAAATTTTCATCCAGAGGCTGTCAGAGTCCTTCTCTGAATGTATTAACAGTTTTCCTAACCTAAGAAAAGCATTGAACATGCAAAATAGTAAAACCATTTAAATTATTATGTTAACAGTTTAAAGCAATTTTAATAATATTAGTGGATATTTCTTCAGTCTTGTTAGATAACGCTATAAAAATATAGTCTTCTGTATTATGATCAAGCTATTTTACATCTTTACCCTTTTGTACTTCCAGAAGGATCCTAAAACATTTGCAGCTTATATTTTATTTAACTACCTAAGAAATAGTTTTATTGTAATTGAGATCAGGTAGCTTGGCTTCTGGAACTTAAATTTCTCAAACTTACTTTACTTCTTTGATTTGATTCTTTTCTTTCTGTAAGACTTTTTTTTTCAGCAGTTTTTATTTGATTAAATACAGGCGGATGTCAGATGGGCTTTTTCTCCAAAAATGCAGGGAAGTTGCAGAAAACTGTAAAGATATTAAATTTAATGAGAT